TGGTGATGAGAGCGAGGACGCGGGGGCGGAGGACGACGCGAATGGGGCAGCCGGTGATAACGCAGAGCCGGCAGCGCAACCCGTCGAGCCTTTTGACAGCTCCCGCAGGCTAGCAGCGCTTATTTTCTCCGCCAGGGGCGCCAGGGGCGGCGTCGGTATGTCACATACGGACGTTGATGCACTCTTGTCACTTCTCAAAGACCCGGGACTCAGCGCGACGGACATTGCGTATCGCAACAGTCGAAAATGCTTCGTATGGGCGGGCAGTCTAGCAGAGACCGCTGGGTGGAAGGAGTTGGATCTGCGTAGTGACGACTGGCCTCGAGAAGCGCACGCCGTCTTATGGTACCGCGATTGGCGAACTGCATTCTTATCGATAATGCACGTCGCGTTGCAGAAATGCGAGACGGTTCATTCCCTCGAGGTTTCCCCGCCGTCGGAGGACAACAGTGTATCCGGTCCGCGCAGCGGGGCGCTCAGTTATCACACGCTGTCAATCATTCGAGCGCACAAAGGTGTTGACGAGAATGGATATTCACGATATGTAATCCCTCTCTCACTGTACTCCGACAAGACACACACAGACGGTCGTCAGAAACAAACGGCATACCCTCTTATGATGTCGCTAGCCGACCACGCGTCGGAAGCCACTCTGCTGGCCTATCTTCCCGTGCTTCATTATCGACCCCGTGACAAAGGATGGGGTCTACAGTCCACCGCATTCAGGAAGCGAAAGGTCGTCATCTTCCACAAGGCCCTTTCGACGGTCTTGCAAGCTGCGAAGGAGGCATCGCACGACGGCATCACGATACCGTCGACGCGATTCGAAGACGTGACTGTCCACCCTTTCCTCCTCAACTATATACAGGACTACCCAGAGCGATGTGCGCTGGCGAATGTGAAGTTTGGTGTATGCCCTACATGCACCGTGTCGAAAACGGACCTCGATGTCGTGGCCGATTTCACGGACAGCAGGAGATCCCAGACGCTGGAAACTCAACTCGCAGCAGCTGTGTTCACGACGGACGACGATGACGTGCGCCGTGCGGCGGAACGGCGAATGGCGGAGTTGGACATGCATAGGCATGTTAAACAGAACGACCTTTGGGGGTTCTACAGGGGGCTGAGTGGCGATGATCCTCAGCTAGACTACCACCTCGCATTGCAACCAGACCGTATGCACACGATCGAACACGGCATATTCCTGCACATGATCGACGCATTCAGGGTGGCAGCCTTTGAGAAGTTGCTGAACACACCGCAAACAGAGATCCTGAAAGAACTCGATGCGAGATTGCAATGCATTAGTGAGAGAGGTACGCGAACATATCCCCAACTTGTGCTGCCCGTGGCCACAGGCAGCGATTTTTTTTCTCGAGAGGGATGCTTCGAGGCGAAGCAAAACCGGTCTGTGATGACAGTGTGCGTGTTCCTCATTTTTAATATAACCCCGCGCTCGACAGGCAAGGGCATTACCGCTTGTTTTGTTAAGCTGATGCAAATGTACGTACGGTTGTTTCGGCGCACAGCACACACTCGAGCTTCCCTCAACGAATGTGACACGTTGATGACGGACTTCGAAACGACCATCAAAGCGAAATTGGGAAGATACCAACCATCAAATTGGAAACTCCCGAAGTTGCATGATCTTATGCATATGAGAATGAGTATTGAGCGATCTGGTGTGGCCGACACATTCGCTGCAGACGTTTGGGAGCATCACCACAGGAGATTCTGCAAACAACCGTACATGTCATCGAACAAAAGGAAAGCGTCAACCTAGATGGTCAACCACGTGCGCCGGTCGCTGGCGTTGCAGGAGGAGACCGGATTTGTGAGGAAAAGGAGGAAGAGGGCCGTCGAGAATAGGTCTTCTGTGACAGACTGTATGGCAACGGGGATAAACACCCTGGCACTACGCGATACGTCAATCCTTCAACTGCACTGGTTCGACATTGATCAGGACCAGATATGCGAGGTGGAAGGCATTGACAGTCATGCGTGTGAGATACTTGAAGAGCTCCCTTTCAGAACCGATTTTCGAGCAGCGATTATGACGTACATGGCGGAGAATGGTTGTCAACCTCCTCCTGATGATCTCGCTATACACACACGAACACATCTCGCCATCGCTTGCACGCAGGACGGAACAAACAGAGGCACACTTGTTCAAACTGCACTAGCGTCGCCGCGGTTCCACGGGAGACCAGTGCAGAGCGACGTCGCAATAAGAGCAGCCAACGAATGTACGTGGTTCGCATCAGTGGCCATGTTTTTCGTCGTCGATGTACCCACAGACGGCGGTAATGTGGAACACAAGTGCGCTTTTGTGCAGTGGTACACAGAGGTTGACAGTGAACGGGAACACGTGACAGGTTGCAAGGAATTGAAATGGGAGAAGGCGAATGRACATCARCACAGCAGCGTCRTTTCAACCGACACTATCGTGGACACCGTTCACATTGTTCCGCGCTTCTGTAAACCACAATGGGGATCGAAAATGCATGCGCGCCACCATGAGGACTGTTTTTTTTAAACAAGTACATATTGTAGAAGGAATAAATTTGAAGTTTGAGAGAGAGAGAGAGAGAGAGACTCATTTCAATTACGAGAAAATTTGTGAGTCTGTCTATTTCTTCTCGCGACAAGATGGTAATGCCGTCCTCCGCCGAAGTAAATTTTTCTAGTAGCTGTAAACAACTATGATGTCTAACGCTGACATACCTACGAAGGAGAACCAAAACCTCATGCGAAACGAAAGTGTCCCCAAAAGTTGACTACTGCGTGACATTCACGTCGTCAACAGTGACATTTGATTCAGTTTTGGCACGCAGTAGCC